CAGTCATTCAAAACGTGAAAGTTCATGGCTTACAAATAACTTCCATGGGCTTGATTGGAATACAGGAAACTTACCATACGATTGCCATCCGCTTATTGTACAAGACCTATGTCGCTTAGCAGCTGACACTGACAAAGTTCTTATTTATGTAAAGGGACGTCAGAAAGTGGAGTGACTCACTAGATTTATTGATCATATCTTCGATCTCGAAAATCTGGGTTGCCCTTCCTTACATCAGCCAGGATTTTGCGAACCTATAGTTTGGAATTATCATCCTCCAGGCTGGACAGACAACTGCTCGCTTCAAAATGTCATGGCTCTTAAAAATTGGTTGAAAAACCGTTATAGTCGACAATTAAGTCAGACTTGCGACCTCCCTGACAGTGATTCTACAACGTCAGAGTCGAATAATGATGATGATGATAATGATGATGATTATGATTATGATGTGATCAGCAAACTAAAAATGTAAGATTTAGAGGATGAGAAATATGAAGTAGAGGTAGGGGATTGGTACAACACCTTCAATTAAAATGATCGGTTTAACCCTATATATGCAATAGCATCAAAGTATGTATTCATTCGCTCATCTACGCTCACAGTAGATACTTCATATAGCTTGAATATTCTTTTTAATAAAAAATTGTATGTCAATTGTTACTCATAGAATTTTTTCATTTTTTATATTTGAAATTTTACATGTCGCAGGTATCAATCTTCATTATGGAAGCTGTTAACGCTGTAGCTCGTACCCTATTCTACTTGCCAACGAAAAAATTAAAAGAATTGAATCCTTCAATCCTTTACACAGTCACTAGCATGAAAAAGTTCAAACAAAATTCGGAACAAGAGTCGTCATCGAACTAGAGGTTAAATTTAACGTTTTCCTTCTCAATAAACTAAGCGAACATTTCATTGTGAACCCAGAATCGTACAATACTCTGCTCAGTCAACTTGAAAAAAGAATTGTTAAGCTTAACTATTTTGGCAGCAGCTTATTAGAATTTATATAAGTTACAATAATTCAATAAGTATAAAAGAACTTAAAGAAATTAACCATTTTCAATTTATTATTTATCATCCATTCATTTCCTTTTTTTATTCATTTTAACAATGAGCATTGATGTGTTTGGACGCAAGATCAGAGGAGCTGACGAACTAAATTTGAAAACTTCACATGAGATTCTTTTAACAGAGATTGGAAATATTAAAGATTCTATTTTAAAATTGAAAGCTAAATTAAAAGAAACTTATACATTGATATACATTGACTGATCTTCATCGAGAAGAACTTGATATGAAAATCATAGAAGTTTAATCTGACATTCATAAGTTGAATGAGTTATTTACTCTCTCTACGACACAGTTGCCGTTACAAAAGGAGCATGATTCATTTGCTGCAGCTCATTTGCCGTCTGCAACAGCATCAGATACATTATGAATTCATTAAGTAGCAACATTCGAAGTCGGGCTATAGCCTGCTTGCATGAATATCTTAGTAAACCGTAGAATATAGATAATTCTACGATTTAAACAACGATGAATTATGTACGGTCACTCATTGACGAAGATACGGACCTGATACATTTGTCTAACATTTTCAACCTATCAACGTATGATCTCATAATAATTGATTTTCTATAGCCTTATTGAAAGGTATCTGGTACATGACAAAGGATAAGAAAACGAACAATTTATCTGAATATTCAATGGGCCTTTGTCATAAATTTACTCAGGAAGATATTCCTAGTTCTAGAACTGATAGGTTAGCTACAAAAGTTAAACGTTTTTATACAAGTGGTTGCTGAATGTGTTCGCATCACTATTGACAATTATCTCCGAAATGAATCGGTTATTGATGTACATTTTATATTCACAGTTTTATATCTATATCGTAAATATACCGATTCCAATCCAAAATTAAAAGTTAAACTATTTAAAGTGAAATATATTCCTGTTTACTCGGCTTACACATATCGAAGATGGTTCTACATAAAAGTGCTACAACCTCTGAAAACCAAGATTGAAAATGATCAAACACAGAATCCAGATTACTCTCTTGGCTGTGTAACTAACGTAATTGTCAGCTATTATAAATAAGACAACGCAAGGATCAGATTATTCATCAAGCAGCATTCGAATAAAATGGACCGCTATCCGTCAGTCAAGTATTCGCGTCTTCCCCAAGAAGACCCAGATGAAAACAAAAAACAATCTACATGGAAACAAGTCACTTCCAAATTTTCAACCAACACTAGTCAATTCCCAGAACAAAAAGGCTACCAACAGTTCGACAATGAAAAGAATAAATACAAATAATCAGGTTACAAAACTTGTATAAGTATTATAATATAATAGCCATGTATACTTTTTATCAAATAAATGTTTTTTTAATTTTAAACGTATTCAAAATTTTGATGATTTTTTTGTTGATTTTCCAATGATAATAAATCTTATCCCCCACGGGGCATGCGCACGAGTAGTAGTAGTAGTAGAAGTACGCTGGTAAATCCAGAACTTTCCATGAGATATACCGACTGGGCATCATTCCTGTACGCCGCCGTCGATAATATACCCCAACCCATTAATCATATATCTTTTTTTTTCATCAGTCTGACTCATCATCGATCGATCATTGGGCCGGGGGCCGGGGGCCTGCGGGGGGGGGGCATCATCCATCCATCCACGTCGATAACTACCGACCGACCAGACGTATCGGCACACATACACACACAACAGTCGGCAACCATGCGAACCGTCGATAAAAAATCGGCCGGTAAAACATCCCATTAGTCGATAAGGCAGGATTGATAATGTTACCGACTGCTGATAAGGAAGGAATAAACGTTCGTATGGTAAAAGTGGCTTAGAACCCTTATAGCCTATACTACTGGCAATATTAAACAACGTCAGAGGTGGAAAGTTAAATATTTTAGAAAAGTTTAAAAACATACAAAAAAGATTGTTTATTAAAGGAAGTGGAAGAAATTAAAAAAAAAAGATGAGTTATAGGTCAAAAAAATTTGTTAACCCTTTGTTGCACAGTGGTAACGTGGGTTACCACAAACTTTACTTCACATTTTCGCTATTTAATCAATTGCTAACGTATTTACATCCGGTTTTTTTTTGTTCATATACTAATTTATTAGTAAGAGAACATAGGAAAATGGTTTATTTGGCAAAATTGTTTATTATAATTGTTATATAAATAAACAAACATGAAAAAATGCAATTTTTTTCTGAGAAATTCATTATTGAAAAACATCATCAGTGTATTAACTTGAAAATCTATACTCGGGGGTTTTCGAGGTCGCTGATTACGAATATGAAGTCGAAATCCCAAAATTTTCAATTCAAAATGGCGTATTCAAGACGGCGGTTCCAAAATTTTGAAAAAAAGAGATATATCAGCTTAAAAATCTCTACTCGGGGGTTTTGGGATCACTGATTACAAAAATAAAGTCGGAATTCCAAAGTTTTCAATTCAAAATGGCGTATTTAAGATGACGGCAGAAATTAAAAAAAAATAAATGTATCAACTTGAAAATCTCTACTTGGGGGTTTTTAAGATTGCCGATCACAAATCTAACATCAAAATTGTCAAATTTTCAATTCAAAATCGCGGATCTAAGATGGTAGTATCAAAATTTTAAAAACAGCTGATAAATCATTACTTGTTGTTGAATCCAATTTGAAATCACTTTACAAAAATCGAGATAAAAATTATATGTAGTTTAGGTTTACATCTAAATCGTTGAAATCGCAGATGAGGTGATATATTTCGAGGTAATTTTTTGTTTTTATCACAACTCTTTTTTATTATGAATAGGAAATAAAAATAATAACTTTTTTTTACAATCCTGAAATATTTTCAAAAATTCTGACTTTTCATTGCAAATGCTATTGATCAAAACTAATACTAATTTTATATTTTTACATGACTTCGTGAGCTTATATTTTTTTATAAAAGTTACTTTTTGCACATTGAAAGTATTCAAAGTTACAAAAAGTTATAAATATGGGGAGAAAAAAAAATGTTGTTACAACCGAAATTCCTAGCGATTCTGAATCAGTTGATGGGCTTTAAGATTCTGACAACAAAGAAGACGTTGTGAACTCAAGATCACTTTTAGACGAAAATGTTTCTACTGTAAATAATAACGATGACGAAGAAGAATCAATGGACGCAGAAGACATTGATGATTCAAATCAATCTGATATTTGGGAGTCTGTTAGTCGGCCAAGATCGGATTTTATGTTTTCTAAAAGCTTTGGTCCAAACATTCCAGATACAGCGAAATCACCATTAGACATATTCTCTTGTTTATTTTCTTCTGATCTATTGGATCATATTCTGCATCAAACTAATCTGTACATTTCTCAAAAAAAGGGTAAGCAAGATCCCATCACAAAAGAAGAATTAAAAATATTTTTAGGCATTAACATTCTGATGGGTATAAAAAAATTGCCATCTTACCGAGATTATTGGAGTGAAAACCCTCAGCTACGTGATTCTTACATACCATCTCTCATGACTGTTAATCGTTTTAGTTTTTTTCTGTCTCATATGCATGTCAACGACAACTCTAAAGAACCAAAAAAAGGTGATCCAAATTACGATAAACTGTATAAGGTAAGACCACTTTTAGACGAGCTTTCTCGAACCGTCAAAGAAAGTTTCAATCCTGGTAAGCACCAAACTGTAGATGAGTCTATATGATAAAATTCAAGGGAAGAAGTACTGTTGAAGCGCTGCCGCGGGAGCTGAGGATGTAATTCCGTCGGGAATGAGACGACACAGATACAATATTCTTTTTTGAAGGCTTTATTGGCTACACTCGCAGTAACAGAACAGGCGAAGGAAGAACAAAGTCGCGTTGAAAAGAAAGTTCTGACGGTGGAGAGCGCAGGTCAATGCTGGCCGAAAAACTCCAAGTAAACAGAGCTTAGCAACGGCGGTGACGTTATTCAGGGGAAGGGGCTTCAGTCTTGCCCCCACTTCAGTGGAAGCCGCCCGCCGTGAGGAGCGCGATCAGCTGGTCCCTGAGGCGTCGGGTTGTCTCCAAACTGTGGCCACCGCTGAGGAAGTCGTCCATGTAGAGGTCGTTCTCAGCGGCCTCTCGGGCGAGTGGGAAGCGGGCGCCCTCGTCGGCGCAGAGCTGTCTGATGGTCCGGAGGGCCAGGTACGGTGCGCAGGTCTCGCCGTAAGTGACGGTTTGCAGCGCGTAGTGGTGAGCGGGGGAGTCTGCGTCCTGGCTCCACAGCACTCTCTGGAGGTGGACGTCCTCTGGCCTCACGCGGATCTGGCGGAACATCATCTGGATGTCCGCGCAAAAGGCGTAACGGTGCAGCCTCCACCTAGTGAGCACGGTGGTCACGTGCCCTTGTAGCTTCGGCCCGGCGTGCAGCGCGTCGTTCAGGCTGTATCCGGAGGATGTGGGTCTCGAGGCGTTGAAGACGACGCGCAGTTTCCGTCCTCGATCGTGATGTTGCCAGATTCCGTGATGCGGGATGTAGACGGCCGGTCCTTGATGTGCGGTGAGCTCCTCGGCAGTGAGACGCCGCATGTGCCCGAGGTTCTCATACTCGGCCATGAACTCGTGGTAGCGGCCCGACAGTTCCTGGTCCCGCTGCATCCGGCGGTGCATCGAGGCGAGGGCGGAACGAGCCTGGCTCAGGCTCTCCCCGAGGAGAGCGACACGTTCCGGTCGTAGCGGGAGGGCTACGGTGTAGCGCCCTGTGGGGTCTCGGCTGCATCCTCGAGCGAACGCTGCCTCGCACTCGACGTCGGCGGTGGAGATCCTTCTCGTCTGGGGTACCTCCTCCAGAGACCAGAATTTCTGGACGAGGCCGAGGAGGCGCTCGTGGCCGGTCGCTGGGCCCGGGATGGACAGGGTGGCGCAAGACAGGGCAACGCCCTGGTCGGCCTGTCGAGCGGCGGCCGCGCGCCCGGTGAGCGTCCAGCCTAACACAGTGTTCTGGGCCAGAAGCGGGCCGTAGCTCCGAACGCCCGATTGGATGATCCGGCCGTAGGCGTCCGCACCGATGACAATATCAATTCCGGCCGGACGGTCGAATTGAGGGTCGGCGAGGGGCAACTCTCCCCGCGGATCCGGACGTGGCTTCTCGATGGCTCCGGAAGGGGTGACGATTCCAACATCTCTCAGGACGAGCACCTCAATGCGGATTAGTCGGTCGCCGGAGGGGGATCTGAGGTGCAGCATCGTCTGGTGTCTCGCCGAGTCCATGGCAGGGCCGGCGACTCCGACAACGTCGACTCGGACGCGGCGCAGCCTGCAGCCGAGTCTGCGGGCGAGGGTGAGGCTCAGGAGGGTTACCTCGGAGCAGGAGTCCAAGAGTGCTCTGCCCGGCACCGGCGGTGAGCCGTCGCTGCTGGCCTGGACGACGGCAGTGGGAAGGAGGGACAGTCATAACTGTTCCTCTTCCCTCGCCGAGACCTCTGGACAGGCTCGGGTGACGGCGGCCTGGACGCGGGGGGCCTTTGGCGCGGGATCCTCGTCCTCGTCGCGGTCAGCGGGACGTCTGGCCGGCCGGCCTGCTCCTTCGTGGATGAGGGTGTGGTGGGCCCCAGAGCAGCTTCTGCAAGTCCCATTTGACGGGCAGGTCCTGGCCGAGTGCGAGCCACTCAAGCAGTTGAAGCAGAGGCCGCGGTCCGAGACGAATCTCCTCCTTTCCTCAGGCGTCAGGCCGCGGAAGGTCAGACAATGGCCAATATAGTGAGCCTCCTTGCAGGCTGGGCATCCGCTCCGCTTGAGGCCAGTGGTGTGGGCCCGCACATGTCGGCCGCTCGGCTGGCGTCCCTGGCTCTGGTCGGCCTTGCGGGATGCGTCGGATGCGCTGGCCGATTGAGGGAGGGCGGAGGTCGGGGGGTACAGCGACCGCAACGTCCGGAACCGCCGCTGGAGGAACTCTCCCAGCTGTTCGAAGGTCGGCTCGCTGGTTTTCTCCTCTCTCTCCTCCTCCCAGACTCTTCGGGTGGCAGGGTCCATGGCTCGGCTGCCGAGATGGACGAACCAGTCGTCCCAACTGCCGACTGGCCGGCCGAGCTTCTCCGGCGATTCCTTGGCGAGCGGTGCGAGGTGGAGTAGGGCGTCGAGGTGGTCTCGCACGCGCAGCTTTGGCTGGTCGAAACGGCTGCAGAGGGCCTCCCAGGCCGTGGAGTAGTCGTGTCCTGACGACTTGAAGTCCCTGATTGCCTCGGCCGCCGCGCCGTCGAGATTCGTCTTGAGAAACAGCATCTTCGTGGCATCTCCCAGGCTGGTGTTGGAGTGCACGATGTCGATGAAGAGGTCCTTGAATGACTCCCACTCTTCGTCGAGGCCTCCGAACCGAGGTAGGGTGATGCGGGGAAGCTGGGCCAAGGCGACGTTTCCTCCGTCGTGAATGTCAAGGCCTCCGGTAGCGCTGGATGAGGGGGTCGAGGCGGGGCTCGGTGACCCGATCTCCGATGCGAATAGACGATCCCGGAGGTCGATGAGGTTCCCCTTGATTGAGGAGTACAGGTCCTTGGCGACGAAGTAGCGGTTGCTGACGCGGTAGGCGTCTGCGTCGTCCTCGGTCGAGGTCAGGAGGCGGACGTGATTGTCGCAGAAGTTGGCCCAGTATCCCTCCACGAGCTGGAGCCGCGTCTGGAGTATCCCCATTGTCCATTGATCGGCTGGGGAGCCGCGGACCCTATCCGCCGTCTGTCGCAGCACTTCAAATAGTGCTTCCTGGATGGCAGTGAGACTTATCTGGAAGATGATGAGGGTTTAGAGACCGCATGGCGCGGAGGAGGTGGACGGAGTCGCCGTCTGTCGGCCAGGGTCGGGCGTCCGACGCTCCGGCTCAGCGCGCGTTCTCCGGCTCCTCCGCTCAGGGGTGTCGGCCGGACGCGTGTCGTCGCCGTCGGCGCGGCGACGGGACGTGCGTCCGCGACGACCGAGAGCCACAGCCGTGATGCGGCTGGGGGGCCGTTCGAGGGGGGGGGTCAAGCGTCGACCGGGGCTCGCGGAGCCCTGGTAGGGCGACGACGGCGCGTTGGCGTCGGCGAGACCCGGTGTCGTCGGCGTCGACGGCGCGTCGGTGCCGGCGAGGCGTCACTGCTGTCGGAGGCGGCCATCTTGAACGCCGCTTGGAGTCGCCGTCGTCCACCCGGGGCACCGCCGCCGAGCTCGACGTGGCCACCGGGTCCTCGCCGACGCACGCGGTCGGTCCCAGCCGGGCCTCGAAGGTCCAGCCTCCCTCGACCCGTCTCATGCGCGTCGCTGGCGGTCGCCCTGCCAGGACGCTCGTCTGCCGACAGCTGAGCTGGCCGGGGCGAGTCGAAGCCGGGGCTGAGGCGAGCGCGCCTCGCCTCTGGGCCGCGCCTGAAGTCGCGGCGATGCCGGGCTTCGGTCCAGGCGCGGCCGCCCGCCGTTAGGCCGACGTTCAGCCCAAATTAAATGGGGTACCTACCTCGATTGCTGTCCGGTATCCGGCTCGAAGGACCAAAATGTTGAAGCGCTGCCGCGGGAGCTGAGGATGTAATTCCGTCGGGAATGAGACGACACAGATACAATATTCTTTTTTGAAGGCTTTATTGGCTACACTCGCAGTAACAGAACAGGCGAAGGAAGAACAAAGTCGTGTTGAAAAGAAAGTTCTGACGGTGGAGAGCGCAGGTCAATGCTGGCCGAAAAGCTCCAAGTAAACAGAGCTTAGCAACGGCGGTGACGTTATTCAGGAGAAGGGGCTTCAGTCTTGCCCCCACTTCAGGTCCTGCGTCGTTGTCTCCTCGTCGGAGGATAGAGGAAAGGGGGAGCCTGACTCGAGCCGCGCGAGGCCGGGCAACTCGACCAAACAAGTACTATGAAACAATACATGTCAGCGAAACCTATAATACGCGGATATAAGTGCTGGACTCGCGCAGATGAGTCTGGTTACGTATGCCAGTTTCAAATCTATACTAGAAAAGCAGACAACACAGAAAAACAATTGGGAACAAGAGTTGTAAAAGACCTTACACGAGAACTTGTTGATAGCAATCATCACGTATATTTCAATAATTTTTTTACTGGGGTGGAACTTCTTTCATCACTGAAAGAAGATAAAATAAGCGCATGTGGCACGGTTCGGCAGAATCGTTCTGGTCTACCAACGAATATCAATGATAAAAAATCAACAAAAAAAATGGACATAGGAGAATATAAATTTATGACTACCAAGACAGGTCTTACCTGGATCAAGTGGATGTATAAGAAACCAGTTTATTTTCTATCCAACTTTCACGATGCATCTGAAGTTACTACTGTAAATCGTAGACAAAAATATGGCTCTCTAAAATGTGTCAATTGTCCTGTTGTTTCTTCAGATTATAATAAGCACATGGGTTATGTAGATTATGCTGATCGACTTATTTCAGTTTATAAAAATGATCGTAAATCTAAAAAGTGGTGGTTTGGAATATTTTGACATTTTCTCGATCTAACAATAAGTAATACATATATTTTGTACAGAGAAAAACATATAAAACCAACGTTGAATTTGAAAAAATTTCGATTAAATTTAGTAGAACAAATGGTAGGATACAAAATTCCAACTGCCAAAGGTCGAAAGCGCAAATCTGACCATTCGGAAGATTTTCGTTACCAGAAACCACAAGTTTCTTTAGAGAAAAGACGCAATCAAGCTGCTCATATGCCTGATTCTATTCAAAGCGCAAAACGATGTGTTCATTGCAGTACAAGAAAGGATCAAAGGAGAACAAAGTGGAAATGTATGACTTGTGATGTACCATTGTGTCTTTTGCAAGATAGAAATTGTTTCCAAAATTACCACACTTAGGTAAAGAATAATGCTTACTTTTTCATAACTTCATGGGCGAAATCAAAAGAAATACATAAAAAATAGTTTGAATAATTCTAAAAAATGAATAAAATACTAAAAAAATTACTAAATTACTACTAAAATACTAAAAAAAGAATAAAAAAACAAAAAAATAACAAAAAACAAAAAAAAAAACAAAAAACCAAAAACAAAAAAAAACAAAAAAAATGGAGCTAGTACTCTTTTACGTCGTCGTCGTTAGCTCTGGGTTACGCAAAAAAAGAGTAAATTTTCAAAAGTCCCTAATATTTTAACCACTGTTTATGTCGTAGTATTCGTTATATTAGATCTACAATGATGAACTATAAAAAAAATTAACAGATTAGTAATCAGCAACCGCAAAAACCCTTGGGTAGTGATTTTTAAGCTTGTACATCTAATTTATCGAAAATTCCCGAGCCGCCATCTTGAATCCGTCATTTTGAATCAATAATTTCTGCATTCCGACTTCATATTCGTAATCAGCGACCCCGAAAACCCCTTAGTAACAATTTTTAAGTAGATACATATATTTTTTGGAAATTTTGGTACCGCCATTTTGAATTCGCCATCTTGAATTAAAAATTTCGAAATTATGACTTCAGATTCGTGAATAGCGACCCCGAAAACCCCTGAGTAGGAATTTTCAAGTAAAACCACTGAATAGAAAAATATGTGCAACAAAGGGTTAACTGGAAAAATTTTTCAATCACAATTAATTCATAACAAAAGCCAACTGTATAATGAACATGAAAACTTTACTTATATCGCGCAAAATACTAAAGAAATATGATTGTTTAAAAAATTAAAAAAGTTCAAATAAAAAAATACTAAACAGAACAAAAGTATACAATGGAATCAATGCTTTTCTTGAAATGGACGAAAATTCATGCATAGCACCTGGCGTAACTTAAAAAAGAGATAGAATAACAAAAAGAAAACGTTATCTAACGGACACGGTAGATAATATTCATAATAAATTTTTGCAAATGGAACAATTAAAAATATCTAGATCTACATTTTATCAACTTCAACTTTTCTGCATTTTGAAAAAAAAAATTTTAGCATAAGATACATGTATATGTAAGCAACAGGCAAATTTCAATTTTCTTTTGCAAATATAGATATACTTCAAAAATTATTTCATCTAATAGTGTATATTAATTCCTTAACAAATTTGTTTGTGATACTGGAAATATAAAAGTATGTACAGGGAATGCAAAAGATGTGGAAAGCGAATAGTCAAAGATAATAAAAATAATTTTAAAACAATCTATTATAAATGGGTGACTACAAAATTTACTACGGAAGTTTTTGATTACAAAAAAAATCTACACGATGAACCGGAGTGTTTTTCTTTTTGTAGTGCATCAGATATTTTGAAAAATAATGCTGCTGCTGTTTGGGCTTATTTACAACCAGTATTAGAACTAGTAAAGTTTACTGTACCAAATGTTCATACGATTTATATACGAAATGATGGACCGACAACACAATATAAATAAGATCAATTTTCAATTATTTACACATTATTGTGAGAATTTATAATTGCACATTCTTCTATTTGCAATTGAAGGATGCATTGTAGAACTTTTCTACTCCAGGACATGGAAAAAGCAGCGCAGATGCCAATGATGGTATAGTTAAAAAATTGTGTGATCAATATGTTCAAGCTGGAAGCGATATCACATCAGTAGATGATGTTATGTTTACAGTTAATAAATTTGCAGAAAAAAAGTCAAAATATATCAAATCTTACTTACTCATATAGAAGCTATAGATAAAATTGTTCAGACAAAGTTAAAATCAGCTCTAAATTCCAAGAAAATCTTTCAATTACAATGAAGCGAAAACAATTAAAAACATTATTTCTCAATTACCTCTCGTACAGTTCTTGTTTCAACAGACTTTCACGAAAACATTATTTACTGTAACCATCCAAATGGAATTTAGTTGATCCCAAATCAAAGCAAATGAAGAAACGAAAACGTAAAAATGTAAGTAAAAAAATATCGATCCGGAAAGTCTCACGTGTTCGGAAAAAATAAATTACTCCTCGTAAGTGTAGTGTTTACGTCTCACGTGTCCGGGCTTAGCCCAATATATTTTCGCACCAACGCGAAAATACAACATCAAAGAAAACAACCATGAACACCATGACACCCACAACTCAGAATCAACAACTAAATGTCATACCAACGTTTTCATTCGACTCCTCCACCTCCAGCTACGCATCAATTACGCAAAAAGACCAAACTCCAAAAAGAGATCAAGGTCTCCTTATGGACTGCATCGGCGAACTGACCCTTACAGATTACACGTGTGCCATAGGAGATATTGTACAACCAAAAAACATACTATTCGCATCGAGAATATCCAAAAACCGAATCTGTATTTACCTGGCCAATAAGGAACTAGTACACGACATCACAGATAAATTCCAAACTATCAACATAGGCGAACAGGTAATACCAATCAGACCATTAGTAAGTATATACAAGAGAATCATATTATCTAATGTCTGCCCAAGCATCTCAAATCATGTCATCGAAAATATTCTTGATAAATTAAAAGTTACCAGGGGCTCCCCGGTAATACCACTGAAAGCTACAATTGTCAAAACCGGATACGAACACGTGGGTAGTTGGCGTAAACAAGCTTACATTAAACCCGAAGACATTAAAAAAATACCCGAGCTCTTTAAAATTTATTATGAAGGAGTCAACTACTTCATATACGCCAGCACAGACTCAATCAAATGCTTTTCATGCAATCAAGATGCTGAAACTATTATCGATAATAGTCCAACTACCAACGA